TGATATTTGCTTCCATTTGGTACTTGGATCATATTTTTAGAACAAGTAGTATTCGAGATATATTGAGGGAAAAGGGATGACAATTCGATTGCATATTGTACGAAATATACATTCATTTTTGTAACGGTTTTTTAAATAATTTATGCAGTGAAACCATAACAACTGCGTATATAATTTAACTTTAAAAATATAATACATGCAAATATCGAAGTGTTTCTTACGACCAACGATTGGATACCGTAAATTTCGGAAAATAGATATATATATTTGTACAGGTAAGAAATCCGGTCTTAATCCATTGTGATTCGATTTAATTCGATTCGAATTTGAACTATTCTGGTTTTTTTATATACTTTCACACATACAAACCTACCAGAACATGGCAAATAAAAAAGAATGTTTCATCTGCGGTGATGGCAAATTTGAAAGAACATTAATTAAGATCACGCAAAAAGGTTTGAAAATAATAATCGAATGCAGCAAATAATTAGGAGATGGGAAGGATGCCTTATTAACGGAAATAACTTCTGTATACGTACATCAGGCACACGTCGTAAAAGGTACACGAAACAAAGCAGTATCAATGCTCTTTTGAAAAGGAAGGACGAAAATAAAGCATCAACCTCTGGTGTAACTGCAAAAAAACTTATTGTTAGAGCTGAAGACAATTTCGATTTTAAATATGCGTGCTTTCTTTGTACGCATGTTATCGATAATGATTTTTATAAAAAACAAAAAAAGCTCCCAGAAACAATAAGGAGAAAAGTTTGTAAAGTTGAAAAATCCACCGCTAAAGCTAATTTTGTAGAAGTCGCAAACAACCGTAATGATGAATAGGCTCGTGATGTGCTTACACGTTTGTCATCAACTATAGATTTAATTTCTGCTGAAGCGATATATCATCAAGATTGTGCAAAATGATTTTATTCAATACCACGTATATCGAATAAAGTGGGTCGACCTTTATCTACTGATATTTCATTTTTCATGCAGAGTATGTTTGACTATTTAGAAAAATCTGAAGAATGTCAATTTTAAATACCGGAACTTATTGATGAGATTGGTGAGATTGGTGAAGTTCCGAACATAAAGACCATTCAAAGAAAACTTAAAGAAAAGTATCAAAATGACATTATAATTACAATTAATAAAAATAAATGTTAATAAATTGTGACGCCTCATATGTAGGCCAAACAAAAAGACATATGAGAACGCGGGTAAATGAACATAGGAAAAATGTTGTGTCAGACATCTCAAGACACTCGGTCATCACAAATCACATGCTAGAGTTTAATCATGCATTTGATTGGGACGGTGTGACCATTCTTGACCATGAGCCGACTATTATAAAAGACTCACATCCGAAATGATTCACATTAAGTCCCAAAAAAATGG